GGAAATGGCAACCCACTCCAGTACTCTTGCCTGGAACATTCCATGGATGGAGGAGCCTCGTAGGCTACAGTCCGTGGCATCACAAAGAGTCGGACACGACTAAGCAACTTCACTTTCACTAATGACAAGGTTGGTTCCCCTGGCTACCAGCCCCATTTCCAGATGACCAAGGGACTTTCCAAAAGTCACCTCATTAACAAAAAAACATTTTAAAATGTCATCTTATAACAAAAGGCACCTTTGTCTCGCTCATCATTTAGGAAATTTTGAGGGTTTAGGAGCTCTGTGCCAAAAGTTTCACATATGTATTTCTCATTGTAAATCACAGCGTCACACTAGACTTGATAGGTGGGGGGATCTCACTAGATCACCCCTCCTTCAAGGGTGAACAAGTGGGGGAAAAACCCTGTGCGTCAGGGGAAATGTGTGGAGGCCAGACCCTGACTCCGAAATGATCTACCGCAGGTTCCGGAGGAAATGCACTTTGTGAGAAAAGCCCAGGATGTCACAAAAAGAGGCCAAGCTGAGATGGAAATAAAACAACAGGGCGAGATGAAAAGGGAAATTAACGAGGAAAATAAGAATTGCAAGGATTCAGAATGCTAGCCAGCACATGGTCCTGACTAGGGGCAGTGGGAATGGGGTTGACATTGCAGGACACGAGGTCAATGACTGAGGCAAACCCGGGCCCTCCATGGGAGTGCGCTGTGGGTAAGAACACGGGAAGAGAGAAAGTCAAGAGATACTCAGAGCATGGCTTTCCTGATGAGGAGACAGGCTCTGAAAAGTCCATGTTTGTAGATGGAAAGACCCCGACATGGAAGGAAAATTTAAAGAAAATACCCACAGCTAGATCTTACACGGTGGGAAAAATTGTAATAACCAGGTGGGACAGGCAGGAAAAATAATTGCCACATAAACATGCCCCGTTCTGCTCCCTCCTTTCCCGGGAAGGTGTCTGTGGGTTTGCCCCCCTGCATCTTAGGACCTTTTTTAAAAAGATGTTGTCGTTGCTGTTTAGTCACCCAGTCATGCCAGACTCTTTGCGACCCCATGAACTTAGCCCGCCAGGTTCCTCTGTCCATGGGATTTCCCAGGCAAGAATACTGGAGTGGGTTGCCATCTCCTTCTTCAGAGGATCTTCCTGACCCAGGGATCAAACAGAAGTCTCCTGCACTGGCAGGCAAATTCTTTACCTTTGAGCCACCAGGGAAGCCCTTTTTAAAAAAAAAAAAAATTATTGCAAAATGCACATCACATAAAATTTACCATCTTAACCATCTTTATGCTTCAGTATCATTAAGCTCATTCACATCGTTGTGAAACCATTGCACTATCGTTTCCAGAACTCAAATCCTGCAAACTGAAACTCAGTCCCCTGAAACAGCAACTCCCCCAAAACCCCTGGCCCCTACCATTCTACTCTGCGTCTATGAATGTGACTGCTTCGTATGTGTGGAACCATCCTTTTGTGACTGATTTCTTTTAGCATGAAGTCAAGGATCAGCCAAGGTGTAGCATATGTCATATCTTGTTCCTTTGTATGTCTGAATAACATTCCATCGCAGACATATCCCACATTTTTATGTGTGTACCTGTGGAAGTTGATGGACACTTGGGTTTCCACCCTTTGACCATGGTGAATCGTACTGTCTCCTAGGGTACCCCCTGCTTCCATCCCTGCAGTTCTCCAAGTGTTTTTGGTATTAAGAGCCCTCTTTATACTTTCTGTCTCTTTTTTAAATTGAGATATAACTGACATAGAGCAATTTTAAGGCACATACTGTATTGATCTGATACATTCATACTGCATTGTATGAATTGTACATTGCATACTATTGTAGCATTAGCCAACACCCCTGTTTTTGTCTTCTAGGGTTGGTAACAGTTAAGGTCTTATCTCTTAGCAAGCTTGATGTTTACAATACTTCTGTTGTCTTTCATGGCTGACCTGTGTGCATTTCTTTAACAGTATACTGTGAACTTATTTATCTTCTTGTTGCAAGTACGAACCTTAAACACCATCTCCCATTCCCCCGCCCCCAGCCCCAATGCACTGTGTTTTTCAGAGTTCAGTTCTTTTTAGATTCCACATTTAAGTGCAATCATACAGTATTTGTCTTTGTCTTTGCCTTATCTCACTGAGCATGATGTTCTCAAGGTCCATCCACATTGTTGCAAATGGCAGGATTTCCTTCTTGTGGATGAATAGTATTCCATTGTATATATAGACCACATCTGCTGTATCCAGTCACCTATTGATGGGCATTTAGGTTGTTTCTGACTTGACTGTTGTGAGTAGCTCCTCAGTGAACATGGGCATGCAAACATCTCCTTGGTAGTATGTTTTCATCTTCTTTAGATATACACCCAGAAGTGTGATTGCTGGGTTGTATGGTAGTTCTGTTTTTAATGTTGTTTATTTATTTATTTTTGGCCACACCATGTGGCTTACAGGATCTTAGTTCCCTGACCAGCGATTAAACCTGAGCCCACGGCAGTGGAAGCACTGAGTCCTAACCAGTGGACTCCCGGGGAATTCTCTACTTTTAATTTCTTGAGGAATCTTTACACTCTTAAAATTATGGAGGGCCTCAAAGAGGTTTTTTTTGTGTGTGTATGGGTTATATCTAATAAAGGCTGTCTACCTAGAAGAAATCAAAACAAACATTTTAAGTATTTATTTATTTATTCACTCATTTAAAATTAATAAGCTCGGGACTTCCCTGGTCATCCACTGGTTAGGACTTCTCCTTCCAATGCAGGGGCTGTGGGTTCCATCTCCTCTGGTCGGGGCGTGCCGACCCGATCTCCTCTGGGATCCCACGTGCCTCAAGGCCAGGAAACCAAAACCCAAAACAGAAGAAATATTGTAATAAATTCAATAAAGACTTTAAAAATGGTCCACATTAGAAAAAAAAAGACTTTGATATTTCTAATCCCAGAAGAAATGCTTTTTTAAAAAATAAATAAAAATAAAGTTAATAAGCTTGCATGAAAAAGAAGTAAATTTTTGTGAAAATATATTTTCCAAAAGAAAAAAATACAGTGAAGAGAGCCACGTTATTTAATAGTTTTGTGAATCTCTTTCGTGTGTGGCTGACTTGGAAGACAGCTGAATCCTCATACCTGCTGCTCTGTGTTTAGCCTCTTCCAGTAGGTTGTTTTGGTTGAAGTCGACAGAGAAAATATACATCATGCCGATTTGGAAGAGGACCCCAGAGAATCCCTGAAAGGGTCTTGAGGGTCGCCCCTCACGCTTTGAGAAATGCTGTGTGAATCTCTGCTCGCTTTTTGGAAAGCCATCCCCCTCACCTTTCCCGCTGGAGTGGGTCCCCAAACCTGGTTCTTCAAGCTCAGGTGGGGGCCCCACTTCTTCGAGATGGCACATGCTGGCATTGGCCCGCTTGGTCCCAGGCCAGGGACACTCTCTGTGCCAAGCTGCCCACAGTGGTGACTCCAGGGAACCTGGGTACCTGCTGATGTGCCCAGGTTTCCTGATGAGGAACCTCACATGCACAGGTCCTAGAGACAGCACCATTTAGACCCATAATGAGGAAGCCAGGATTCTCCTCACTGCCTGGTATTTGCAAGGCAGACGAGCCCCTCCCAGGCCAAAGCTATGCCCGGGGCAACCTGGAGGAGGCACATGTGGATGTGATCCTTCCACCCCCGCATGCCCCCACCCCCACATGCAACCAGAGCAGAGTGTCAAGGTCCCTGGTGGGCAGGGTCAGTAGGACTGCCAGTGCGCTCATGACACATTTGTCTCCAGTACACTGGCTTGGTGGGGGACATGGAGAGGACACCAGGAATGCTGGAAGTGGCCCAAGGTCCTCGGGATGTGTGAGGTGCTCTGAAGTAGCACAGGCACCCCATGGACCTACGCGGGGTCCAAAGTGTAGTGTTAGTCGCTCAGTCGTGTTGGACTCTTTGCGACCCATGGACTGTGTATCCCACCAGGCTCCTCTGTCCATGGAGTTCTGCAGACAAGAATACTGGAGTCAGCGGCTATTTCCTCCTCCAGGAGGTGGGGTCTAAGTAAAGAAATAAAGCAATAAAAGTGCAGCAGCCTCTCTCCGGCCCCGTCTGGTTTTTCCCTGTTGCAGCTTCTCATAACCCGGCACCCTGGGACCTCAGGAGCCCCACCCCAGCTGGAATTCACAGGGCGGGGTGGCCGTGACTCACTCACCCAGAGCGCGTGACCAGGGCCACGTCTGCCTTCCTGGGGAGACCCCTCCCCACCCCCTTCCTTCCTTCCACCCTCGGCCCCCTCCCCAGCGACAGTTTCATGACTCCAGATAAGAGCTGCCCAGAGAGACAGAGCCACTGTCAGCAGGCTGGGAGGGGTCCAGACTGACAGTGAGGACGGGGACGTGGCCCTGGGGGCGGGGGGCCTCTGGGAAAGGACAGCTTGCATCCTCCCACACCTGCCCCGGCGTCCTGGGTTAGCAGGTCGGATGTTCTTGGTCCTTCCAGGATGGGATGACTTCTACTGGCCTGGAGAGGACGGGGATGGGAAGATAGGGCAGGGCTGGTAGGAACCCAAGAACCCAAGCAGCCATCCAGTCCAGGTTTTTCAGACTTTGGCAATAGAACTGCCTTTAAAAAAACTGAAGGGCAGTGAGCAGAGTGGCTCTGCTAAGAGCTGGGCCCAAAGACTTGCTGACCCTTGGCCTCCCTCTTGTCTTACCAGCCCCAAGACCTTGGAACACGGTTTGGTAACTGCTAAACGTGGTCCATCCGCCCATGTCACAGATGGGGAAACAGACCCCAAGAGGGAAGAGGTCTCTCATCCACATATGGATAGGCTGAATTCCAATATCTACCTTTCCAGCCTCGCCTGCCACACAGAGTGAAAGTCGCTCAGTTGTGTCTTTTTGCAACCCCAGGGACTGAAACCCACCTCCATGAGCTGCCCTGGATGTGCTGGGTGGAGCTCCAGGGGAGGGCGGGGGGGGGGGTCCTCGCTGACCTCTGGCCATCTTCCTCTCTTGCAGGACCTGGGCATGGAGTCAACCTCGCTGGACGACGTCCTGTACCGCTACGCCAGCTTCAGGAACCTGGTGGACCCCATCACGCACGACCTCATCATCAGCCTGGCCCGCTACATCCACTGCCCCAAGCCGGTAGGCCAGCCATGGTCTGAGCCAGCCAAGTCTGGGGTGTAAGGCGGGCACCTTCCTGGGCAGAACAGCCCAGTGCCCTGGGTAGGGGGCTGGTCAATGCTGCCCAGGCCCCTCGTGCAGGCACCTGAGGCCCAGCATCCATGGTAGAGGCTATATGCCTGCACCCTCAGTGCTGGCTTTGTTTGGCCCACCAGGTGCATCAAATCTGGATTTGTTACCAACACTTAAAACTATTTCACACAATCCCAATATTGGCTGCCCTTGGAAAATGGGGAAACTCGTCATTTCTAAGGCCTGGAGCTGAGTAGCCACCCCTGTTGTCTGGGGTCAGGGCCACCGTGTACAGTTGCGTAGGTTGCATCCTGCACAAAGACACGTGCACAGAGGGGGTGGGGCGGGAGGAGACAGCTCAGTCCAAACCGTCTCTCTGCCCACCAGCCATGGGCGCAGGGGCAGGACCGTGTCCAGCAAGAGGTGAGCTCTGTCTAGTCTGCACAAAGGTGCTGTGTGAGGGTAGCCGCGGCCCCCCGCCGTTCGGTTCACCACACTCCCCACTACATCCACTGGTCTTCCTCTCTGGACCGAGTGTCATTTTACACCCACCCGCTTCACTTGGGTCCACTTCCTGCCTGGCTCCGCGGTTCTCCAGGCTCTGTGGGCGCGGCCCAGCCCCTCAGGGTGGGAGATCTGTTCCCCTTCCCGCCGGCTCCACAGTCCAGGCCAGGACCCGGGAGGGAGGGGACGGCCACAGCAGGTCAGCTGCCCCCTTGGGCTTTCCTCTCTGTTTTGGTTTCTTCTCTCCCATCCCTCAATTTCCAGCAGTTTCTAAAAGACATGCCTCCTTGCAGCAGGAGAAAGGAGCAGGAAGCCAGCACAGGGCGGAGGAGCCCTGCGGCGGCCTCCACCTCAGGGTAGAACCAGGATCAGAGCAAGAGGTGGTTCCCAGGTCCACCCCGCACTCACCCGGGCGCCCAGGGGCTGCACCTTGCTCCAGGGTGGCGCCCCCATCTGGAGCTCTGTCTAGGGCCTTCTCTCTGGCGTCCAGAGTGTCTGATGCCAAGACTCCTAGGTGGAGGGCTAGACAAGGAGGACCGGGGGTCCGTTGGGGCAGGTGTGGGGTGGGTTGGTAGAGGGCGGCCACCGCAAAGCCAGCAGGTGCTGGTTGTCCAGGCAGGGCCACAGCAGAGAAGGGCCGGGCACAAAGTCGGGAACAGTGGACCCTGGGCGATTTGGACGGAGCACCCGTGTTGTCCACCGGTCAGCATGTCCCAACAGTCCTAGTTCTCTAGTGTGTCGGGGCAATGTCCAAGGCCCTCCTCCTCAGGCTGCTGGAAGAGCCTCCAGCTGGACTCTGGGCTCCGCTCCTGCCTCTGTGCCCTCTCTGCCCTTCGTGTGCAGGGGTAAACTGCGTCACCAGGTACCTCCTGAAAAGCCTTCTGTGAGGTGCTGTGGTTTAAGGAACTCGCGACCCCTCCTCTGGATCCGCCTGAATCTCCCCTCCCATTGCTCCCACTCCGCTCCAACCCGCACGCTCCTCTCTTCCTGTGGCATCCAGATTCTCTCCAACCTTCGGGACTCTACTGCCCCAGCTCTCCTCTCCTCCTTTCAGACTTAGCCTAAGCACTGCCTCTCGGAGGCCTTCTTTGCCCAGCCTCCCTTCAGTAGGTCTCTGATCAGCCCCATTTGTTTTCTCATTCCACTCACTGTCCTCTGAAATTATCTTGCTGACATGTTTGTTGGCCTAGTGTCTGCTCTGCCCACTAGAATATAAACTCCGGAGGGGCAAGAGAGGACGTCCGCCTGTTCACAGTCATCCTGCTCCTGGCACAAGCAGGTGACACATTCCACTGTGCGTGAGAGGATGAGATGGTTGGATGGCATCATTGACCCGATGGACATGAGTTTGAGCAAGCTCCGGGAGATGGTGAAGGACAAGGAGGCTTGGCGTCCTGCAGTCCATGGGGTCGCAAAGAGGCGGACTTGACTTAGTGACTGAATAGCCACAATAAGGGACTATTTCCAGGGTTGCGGGCAGGAAGAAGGGGATGGAACTGGGCCGCTGGGACACGGGAGGCCAGCAGCAGGAAGTCGTTACCGAGGAAGCGCTGTGGGCAGCGCTGTACCACCCAAGTCGGGCGGAGAACGCCTCTCCCAAAACTGCCCTGTATCTTCCTTGTTTTCTCTTTCTTTGTTTCTTTTTTAATACTTTATTGTGTTTTCTGTTGCTGCATATCAAATCACCCTAAAACTTGGTGGCTTAAAAACAACGCACTAGCATCGTTTTACCATCTCTGTAGGTGGGGGATTCAGGAACAGCGGCAGCTCGGGGTCAGGCTGGGGGCTCGGGACACTGGCTGAGGCTGCAAGTATCTGGAGGCTGGAAGGGGACCGACAGGATGGCACACCCCCATGGCTAATGGTGGGAGGCCTCAGCTTTCTGCCTGCGGCCCGTCCACTGCTTAAGCTCCCTCACGTCAGGGTAGCTGGCTTATCCCAGAGCGGGTGATGCCCGAGAGCAAGGGAGAAGCACAGTGTCTTCTGAGCCAGCTTCAGATGTCACATGCCATCACTGCCATAGTGGATCACCCGATCAGCCCTGACGCGGGTGGAAGGAGGCTGTACACACCCAGGAGTCCGGCATCTGTAGGGCTATCTTGGAGGCTGAGTGAAGCAGGGCAGGAACAAGAAGAGTTAATCCCTGGCCTTTCTCTCCTGCCCTCTGACCTCCCTCCCATTAGCTGATCACACTGGCAGTCAGGAGAAAGAGGACCAGTGATGCAGTCTGTCCGTAAGAGCTCAGCCTGTCCAGCACAGAGAACAGAGAGTGGATGGGGGAGGCGTAGACAGAAAGCCCAGCACAGTCTCGGTGTCTGGAGCAGCATCCGGCACACAGTAGGCAGGGCAGCCGTGTTTGATGAATGAATGAAGAAGCCTTGGGTGCAGAGTGGTGAAAGGCTCTGCTTGTTATCCTGGGGTCAGGGGTGAAGACAGTAGATGGCATCAGAAGGGGCCTGACCCCTCCCGGAGGGGCCTGCAGGTCTGCAGTGGGCCTCTCCCCTGACAGGTCAGTGAACCCCTCAAGCAGGGTCTTCTCTGGGGCCTCTGGTCAGCAGCACTGGGCAGGTGCCCAGTCACCCCAACTTGTGCCACACCCCTCCCCCTCCTTCCTTTTCCATGGGTGGGAGGAAAGCCTAGAGAGCAGATTCCACGACCTGCCTTGGCACCTCTGCTCTGGGTTAAGACTCTGTTGCAAGTAACAGAAGCCCATGCGGGCTGCCTTAAGCCAGGAAGAGGGCTTATCCTTCCCATACTGAGGGGGCTCATGGCCCCAGCGGCAGCCAAGCTGGCAAGAGGCTCTGGGACCCCAACCGGCACAGACACTTGCCCCCCACCTCTGCTCCTGCCCCCTCCCCAACCCCCTCCCCATGTCTCAGGGTTGTCAGGGTTCAGCCTCCAGGAGTCTTGTCTAAAGTCAGGATTCCAGTGCCCCCTTCTGGACCAGTCAGCAGTAGCTTGGGAGTGTGGTCTGGTCCCACAGAGGGGCTGCTGGGCCTCACGGCTTTCAGAGTAAGAGAAGGGCCAGCATCCTCCTTCTTCCTTGCCTCCCCCCTTCCTTCCTCCTCCTCCACCGCTGGGCCAGTCCTGCTTAGCTGTTCCTGCAGGCAGAGACCTGGAGTGGGAAAACTTAAGTGAGCTTGCTTGGGGCTTTACTAGTTGCAAAGGATAGAAGCACCTTGAACTCACTTTGGAGAAAGATTCATCACCTGAGGGCAGAGCAGAGCCCAGCCTCAGAGCGATTGCGGGGTTTGCATCCTGATGCCAGCCTTCACGTCGCCTGGCCTGCCGTCCCCTCGACTTCTTATTTCCATGTTTGTCAAGCGGGATTACAGGGGCACCCATCTCATGCGATGACTGTGATTACAGGATTGGGACGTAGGCAAAGCCAGAGGCAGTACCCAGTGTCTAGTAGATAATATAAGTCACTGAATCTTAGTTCAGACAAGCGGAGGCGCTCTCACCACTGACGACGCAGGCTCACGTTTGGCCTCAGGCCCCCTGCAAATTGACCACATCTTCAGTCCCTGTTTAGTAAACAAGAGCACAGGCCCAGCTTGGGGACCTCGCTCTGTGCGTGGCTGCCCCCTGGTGGCGGTACCGGCGCACTGCGGCGGCTGCTTTGCCCCCTCTTTTTCTTTCTTTGCGGACAAAGGTCGGTCTAGTCAAAGCTACGGTTTTTCTAGTGGTCATGTATGGATGTGAGAGTTGTGCTATAAAGAAAGCTGAGCGCCGAAAAATTGGTGCTTTTGAACTGTGGTGTTGGAGAAGACTCTTGAGAGTCCCTTCGACTAGAAGGAGATCAAACCAGTCAATCCTAAAGGAAATCAGTACTGAATATTCATTGGAGGGACTGATGCTGAAGCTGAAACTCCAATACTTTGGCCACCTGATGAGAAGAATTGATTCATTGGAAAAGACCCTGATGTTAGGAAGGATTGAAGGCAGGAGGAGAAGGGGACAACAGAGGATGAGATGGTTGGATGGCATCACCGATTCAATGGACATGAATGTGAGCAAGCTCCGGGAGTTGGTGATGGTCAGGGCAGCCTGGCGTGCTGCAGTCCATGGCATTGCAAAGAGTCAGACAACACTGAGCGACAGAACTGAACTTTCTGTTTCTTCCTTCTGGCCGAGAAGTTTGAGGGACAGTCTGTGGCTTCCAATTTGGAACCCCTGAGAAGTGGTCAGAGGTTAAGGTTAGGGCTAGGAGCTCACTTGTCAGTTTTGGAATAGCCCGGGTGGTCCTGGGGGTGACACTGGGCAGACTACCACATCCCACCCCACTGGTCCACCTGGCAGCACAGGGGAATCTCGGCTGAGGTAGGGGGGAGGTGTTAAAAGTCCCAGTGTCCACCCATCACTGGGGATGGCCCAGGCAGCTGTGTTCTCTAAAGCTCTGGGTGACCCTGGTATGCGAGGGTCCTAGGGAAAGGGAACTTCCCCCGTGATCCAGTGGCTAAGACTCCGTGCTCCCAATGCAGGGGGCCTGGGTTTGATCCTGATCAAGGAACTAGATCCCACATGCCACAACTAAAGATCCCACATGCTACATCAAAAGTCGAAAATCCCATATGCTGTAACTAAGACACAGAGCAGCCAAATAAATAAACAAATAATTGTGAAAGGATCCCAGATGCAGAACCTTGTCTTAGATGTGCCACCCTCCCTTCTCCCTTTGGCCTAGAAGTTGGCCTTCACCCCGGCCAGCACCATGACCACCATCCCTGAGCCTGTGCTGGCCAGCACCTCTGCACTTGAGTCTCCAGTGGGGTGTCTCAGCCCACCAGCCCCCTTCTTGGTGCCCAGGGCTCTGCTTCCTCCTGCTTCTCTGGCCGAGCCTTTGCTGTCATTTCACGTCCCCTGCCCCTTTGATATTTGACTGATCCCCCTGTCTGCTCTGCTCATTCCTTGGCCAGGGGTTTAATCAGATGCTGACGATTGTGTCCAGGCCAGACCTGTTCTCACCCCCAGCCCATAAATCCAGTCACATCCCCCAGCTGGAGGCCCCATAGGCCCCTGCAACTCCATATGGCCCCGTGTGAGCTGATTGCTGCCCCATCCTGCTTAACCCTTTACAGACGAGGATCAGAGGCACAGAGAGGTCAAGTGATTTGCCCAAGGTCACACAGGAGGTGACAATGCAAGGATTTGGATCCACACAGTTTGGATCAAGTCTGTATTCTTAACTGCTCAATACAGTGGATCCCACACTATCCTCAGGGAATATGTTCCAGGACCTTCATATATGTGTGCTAAGTCGCTTCAGTTGTGTCCAACTCTGCAGCTGTATGGACTGTAGCCCGCCAGGCTCCTCTGTCCTAGGACTCTCCAGGCAAGAAAACTGGAGAGGGTAACCATGCCCTCCTCCGGGGGATCTTCCCAACCCACGGCTCCAACCTGAGTCTCTTACAGCCTCCTGCACTGCAGGCAGATTCTTTTCCACTAGTGCCACCTGGAAACACTCCAAGAACTTCAGGGGATGCCTGAAACAGATGGTACCAAACTGTATAAAACTGTGTTCTCTGTCCTAACGGTGTAGGTAATATATACAGTGTGGGTTACACCTCACAAAGGAATGATTTATGTCCCCAACAGGGTGGAACAGGGCAACATGACAGTTCATCACGCTACTCAGGACAGTGCAGTTTTAAACCTATGTGTTATTTCGGGGATTTTCCACTTAATATTTTCAGGCCAAGGTTGCCCACGAGTAATGAAAACCTCGGAAAGCCCAACAGCAGATGAGGGGGGAGAGCTGTGTGCTGCCTCTTACCAGCAGAGTGATGGTGACAATGGTCATAATCACGCTGGTCTTCGCCAAGTACCCGCCCTGTGTCAGGTGCCCCGGTGGGCACTGGCCTCTATAGTGCTTGACCCACCACATCGCGCTGCCATCTGCAAGTGGGTGTGCATCCACACCTGGCACTTCGTGGCCTTGTTCCTTGGCCCTGGACCGTCTGGTGAGCACACAGGCTGTGGACCACTCAGTCTCTCAGGCCGGAGACTCTCTGTTGAACTGATTTCCCTTTGACAGAGCAGGAGTCTCTGAAATCTGCCCTCTGCATCCTCTAACCTAGCATATTTGTTTGCTGGAGCTACCGTGACAAAAACACCACTTAAACAGACTAAATGTGTTTCCTCACAGACCTGGAGGCTGGAAGTCCAAGATCAAGACATTAACAGGGTTGTTCTCTTCTGAAGCTGCCCTCCTTGGCATGTGGACGGACGTCTTCTGCCTGTGTGCTCACATGGTCTCTCCTCTGTACACGGCTGTGTTCTGGTCTCTGCTCATGAGGACACCAGTCATATAGGATTAGGGCCTGTCTCAATGAACTCATTTTATCTTAAGTACTCTTTCAAGGCCCTGTCTCTGAATACAGCCACAGTCTGAGGTGCTGGGGATTAGGACTTCAGTTTAAGAATTTTGGGGGACACAGTTCAGGCCATAACACCCAGGGTCTTGAGCTCAAATGCTAGTGGTCCAGACAGGAAACGAAGGGGGATGAACTGGGTTGGGGAAGACTTGGCCCTTCATTCCTTTATTTTCCCACTGCTGATGTGGGCAGAAGAGACGTGGTAAGGGATGTCATTGTCCTCTTTGCTGTGTGAAATACGAGGGCAAGGACATTTGCTCCCAGTGTCCAGAGCAAATGTCCAGCACCTGGGAGGGGCCCAGCGGGCATTTGTCAGGAAAGCCAGTGAGGACAGCCCTGGGCGTCAGGAAGTGGCAGGGACCATGGTGACTCTGGCTAAGGGGTCACCTGTCACATCACCTGGAATCAGACTCTTACAGAAATCTCAGGTTTATTCACGACAGCAACTAATTCACAGAAACTAACACCAGTGTGCAGATGAGTCTGCAACCCCTGCCCCCTGCTCCGGGCAGCCACCGGGAGCCAGTGCAGCAGGTCTCCACACCGAGCTAGCCCGGGGTGGCCGTGCTGGTCCCGCAGAGCCGGGAGGTGGAGGGAGGGGCCTGGCTCCCCACCTGCTCCAGCGACTCAGGGACCTGTGGTTGGTCTGCAGGAGGGCGATGCTCTGGGGGCCATGGAGAAGCTGTGCCGGCAGCTGACGTACCACCTCAGCCCCCACTCCCAGTGGAGGCGCCACCGCGGGCTGGTGAAGAGGAAGCCCCAGGCCTGGTGAGTCCCGCCCCCGCCCAGCCTCCTCCTCCAAGGGCAGCTCCCAGTCAGCTGTGTCGGGATGGGCCTGGGGGGGTCCAGCACCCCTTCCCAGGGCAGTGGGGAGAGGACACGAGCTGCTTGCAGGAGATAAAGGATTGATGGGGGTTGGGGGGCATTCCAGGTGGGCATGAGCCCTGAGAGGCTCTGGCATCCAGGCCCTGATCTGTGCAGTGGGGGCTGACCGTGGGTACTCCTCCCACCCATCACCAGTCCTCCTGATGTCTCCCGGGGTCCTGGACCCCACCACGTCCCTGGCTCATGCAGCTGTGAGGACGCTCAGGGGTTGTGTGGCCGCCTGCACCCTGGGGGCAGAGGGGACCCTGGGACACAGAACCAGGGCTAGGACAGCATCATAGGAGAAAGCGGAGGGGAACATACTCTGGATGAATCACGGGGCAGAATGACTGGGGTCCTAGTGCGCAGGCTCCTCTTCAGCTCCTGCAGGTGGGATGGGAGGGGAAGCACAGAGAAGAGCTCTGGTCCCCCTTCCCTTCTGGATACCGCTCCCACTCCCAAGCCAGGGGAAGACTCCTCAGGGCCCCTCCCAGGGGGAGGAAGTAGGCACAGGGGCCTCCAGTCGGGCCAAGGTGAGGCCAAGTGTTGGGAGAGTGCAGGACGGGACCCGTGGAACCCAGAAGGCCAGGAGATTTGTGAGCTGGTTGCAGAGGAAGAAGCTCGGCTGTGAACTCTGCTGGGACCCAGGGGCTTCTGTCTCCCCAGGGCACAGGAATGCTCAGTCCACTCTCCATTCAGAAGCCTCACTCCTGCCAGGGCCTCCCCGTCAGCCCCAAGTGCAGGTCTGTTTCCCCCAGGCTGGCCTTCCTGCTGGCTCACAGACACGCTGAGTTCCACCAGCCTCGGGGCCTTTGCACCTGTGGTCCCTCTGCTGTAACTCCTACTGAGTTCTTACCTCAGCCTGGTTTTCTCCTACAAGGCCAACAGGAAGTCCAAGCTGCGATCTGGGGCCCCTCCACCTCCCTGTCCTTCCCAGGGTTGGAGCCTTGGGGTTTACCTGGGTACCTGGAGACCAGGAGATCTGGGTCCAGAGCAAGAAGACAAGAAGCAGGGCAGAAGAGCAAGGGGTGGAGGAGGTGGGGAGTGGAAGGAGGTAGACAGCAGCCCCCACCAGGCTCCAGGCCCCTGCACCCACCCCCAACCCCTGCCTGCTGTCCTGAGAGCTCTCCCTAAGGATCCTCCTTCTGGCTGGAAGGTGGTCTTGGAGGGGCCCCCAAGATCTTATTTCGCTCTTGGGTGGAGCAGGGAACTCGCCCATTTGCCACCTCCTCTACAGGGCACTGTCCTGAATGCATTCTTATTTCACATGACAACCTGTGGTACCCAGTTGTCTCCATTTTTCAGCTTAAAAACTGAGGCACAGAGGTTAAGGATGTCAAGGTCACACGAGTAGGAAGAAAGGAATCCAGGGCAGACCCAGACGTTTGCCTGCTGAATGTACCCTTAGTCACTGGGGCCTCCCCTGTGGTCCCCCAGCCTCTGCCCACTGGGCAGCCAGGTTGAGAGGTGGGGCAGTGCAAGGGGCCTGGGGTCCCTGACCTCTTGAATCACAGGGCTGAGTGGAGGCTGGCTCTTGGAGGTGACCCACCTCAGCCTCCCGAGAAAAGCCTGCCGCTCTCTCTCGAACCCTGCTGTCCCGTCTCCCCTTTAGCCTCAAGGCGGTCCTGGCCGGGAGCCCTCCAGACAACACGGTGGACCTGTCAGGCATCCCGCTGACCTCCCGTGACCTGGAACGGGTGACCAGCTACCTGCAGCGCTGCGGGGAGCAGGTGGATAGCGTGGAGCTGGGCTTCACGGGCCTCACGGATGACATGGTTCTGCAGCTGCTGCCGGCGCTCAGCACGCTGCCCCGGCTGACCACACTGGCCCTCAACGGCAACCGGCTGACGCGGGCCCTGCTGCGCGACCTCACCGACGCCCTCAGAGACCCCAGGAAGTTCCCCAGCGTCACGTGGATCGACCTGGGCAACAATGTGGACATCTTCTCGCTGCCCCAGCCCTTCCTGCTCAGCCTACGCAAGCGCTCCCCCAAGCAGGGCCACCTGCCTACCATCCTGGAGCTGGGCGAGGGCCCGGGCAGTGGGCACGAGACCCAGGACGAGGCCCTGGGCCCAGAGGATCCCGGAGGGGGCCCTGAAACCCCCACGAGAGACCAGGAGGGCAGGGAAACTGTAGGTGCAACCCAGACGTGACAGAGGAGTGCGGGCCAAAGTCACTCCTCCTGGGATGGGATGGCTGAGGCAGGCTGGGGCTCCTGGGGGGGGAGCTCCACAGTGGGCCTGGGCAGCGCCTCCCCCCACCCCCACAGGAAGCCGGATGGAACCACCTGGGAAAGGAGCACTGTAACTCCTCTCCATCTCCCCTGTCTACCCACGACTGCCTCTGGCTCCTGAGAAGTCATCCCTGGCTTAAAAGGAATCCACCCTACCCTCCCTAGACCTGTGGGTGCAGCTGGTTGGAGGTGCTGGAAGCCTGAGCTGTACTGTAGTACTGTGAATCGGGAGAGCTCTCCCCCAGGAAAGGAGTGTAGTAGGGGCCCTCCATCTAACCCAGGACTTTCCAATCCTGAATTACAAATATTCAGGCCAGCAAACCCCAGCCAGATGCTGACTGTACCCCAGGTCAAGGGCTAAGGTAGGGGACTGGCTCCTAGAGACCCCACGAGTCCCCTCCCCATCTGGACTAAAGGGTGTCTCTTTGTGGAGCCCTGGGCTCCTTGGAACAAACTTCCCACCATCTACAAGGTCCATCTTTCAGCCTGTGATGTGATCCCAGGGCCTACCCAGGGTACCAGCTATTCCCTAAACCCACCAGTATTTAGGGCAGCCTGCCTAGCAAGCCTGGAGCAGACCAGCGCATGCAGAAAATATAAGACCCACTCAAAACACTGCAGATTACCAGACCTTCCCATGGGTGATTGTTCCTAGGGTACAGGCCACAGTGAGCCTTGCTTCCTTTCAAAAGGACCATTTCCCATAAAATTCCTTCCCATGGGGTCCCCAAAATATGAGCACATTCCCAAAACCCCACGACCACAAAGATGAAGTGCCTCCGAGCAGTCACAGCTGGGAGGGGGAAAAAAAGCAAGTCTCCACCCCACTGTCCCTACACCCGAGGCCTACCCATTCAGGCCCAATCAAAAAGCCCAGCTGATTGCTAAATTGGAGAAAATTATCCCAGGTACCCATGATGTTGGTGAACCAAGGCCCCTCAGGTAGAGGGTTAGTGAAGCTTCTAATCTGATGCCAGGGAGCAAAGACCTTTACAGACTGGGGCTTCAAGAGAAAGGAAGCTCATGCCAGTGGACAGAGCCCAGAGGAACAGGGACTGTGTACAGATGCCTTAAATGCTTTGGGATTTTTTGCCCTAAGTCTCAAGAGGGGAGAACACCTTAAACTGACCATAAGGGAAGGTTACAAGGAGTTAACTGGACCACTAATATCGACTCGACTTAGAGAAGGAACAATAATTGTCAGCAGTGATCAGACTTGACTTTTTCTTCAAAAATACACATTTCTAAGAACTTAATACCAAAGAGCATCCTTTTATTACATCTATGGTAACTGCATGGAGATACAAATTTCAGGAAGTTTCTCTCACCCAGTATAACAAATGCATACAATATTTACAAGTACAAAAAAGCTACTTTTGCTTAAGGGACAATACAATGAAACTATGAATTTAATGACTCCACTGTCCTAGAAAAAGGCTGCCAAATCCATTTCTTGGCTCTTTCACAAAAAGAATGTCCCCTTTGATACTCAACACGAAACAAAACGTTGAAGCCTGTATTTTCCAAGTCCAAGTTGATGGCTGCCACTGGTCCTTGCAGCTTCCAAATTCTGCCCCTGCTGCAGCATAGCCTGCAAGGAAACTAAGTATCAGTGAATCTTACTTTATACTCCCCAGAATAGTCATTCACAGCATAAAGATATCCTCAGAAAACCATAGGTTCACCACTACACAATCTGCCGGTAATTCCAGCTTCTTTTGGGTGATTTCATCATTGATATTCTTTTCTGCAAAACCATTTTAACAAAACTAGCTGCTCAAAAAAAAACACAAAAAAACTAGCTGCTCATCCATTCTACCATGCAGATGGTCATGGTCCAGATCAGGTCTTACCTTGTCTTGGGATGGGGTGCTCCTGCCATTGCTGCAAGCTCTAAAACTCTGCTGGTCACTCTTCAGAGCTCAGACCCTGGAGGGATGAATAAGGCACCTGTGGTCAGACAACCAAGGGCAACTGGAAGCAGTTCCCACTGTGCTGACAGCCACAACTATACAAATGCACATCCATCCCCTCAACAGTCCATAGGGACTGAGTCATAACTGCCATCTTTAGATGCTTCAACTTCCATTCAGTCACTTTGTTTTAAACATTACACACCTAAGGCTTTCAATTTTCAGGGCATCTCAGAGCAGAAAGTTTGCTCAGGACTCTACAGCCACGACATAAAAAGGAACTCCTGGGTTCACTCTGCCATCTGGTCCACATACAAACCAAAATCATTCTCATATATGACAAAGGTCAAGGTACTAGGTCAGCCAGACGACCAACATATGGTCCAATAGCAATTTCACGATTCAACTGAACACCTCGGCCTCCTCAACTACAATCCAAAGTTTACTCACCTCGGTCCAGGCTCCCATACTCGGTGGCTGGTGATCACGTGCTGGCAATGCCTCACCTACTGGCAACCTGGGTGAATACAGAAATTACGGGTCACAGTCCAGACCACCCAACTTCTGGGCACCGCCAAATGGTGAGGATGCCTTGACTGCAGTCAGTCAGGAAACTTTATCATCAGTTATCGCTTCTGACGGCACTTCCTATTAGTGATCTCATCAGAGCAGCCAAGTACCTCACCACTCCTAGTACCGCCCGAGGACCCAGGCTTTGGCTAAACCTGCCTGAAGGCATGTGTTTCTGAACACAGACGCGGTTTAGACATAACTTGTTTCAGGCTAGGGGCCGCAACCAAACCGTCCCAAACACGCCAAGAGGCCGTGCATAATTATATCAAATGCATGAAAGTGACAACGGCAAGTCATCAGGCAATATCCGTGCATTTAAGGGCGGAAGAACTTTAGACACTGCTAAGTTAATATTATTAAGCCCACAGAGACTGGTTCTTACCTCGAGGAGACCTCCTGCTCCCGTCTGCAAAACCGAGTGTGCCGCTATCTGAAACAAGGATCAGGACGTGCATTTAGGGCAGACTCTGGCAGTTACAGGCACCTAAAGCGTCAGGTATCAGTGACTGCATCAGTTTAGCGTAAAAGTCGTCAGTTATCGCTTCTGACGGCACTTCCTACGGGATCATCAGGACAGCCGAGCAAGCCTCCCTCGAGACCCCCCCACTACGAGCCTCGCCCCGCGCCCTCAGGTGCAGGCAGCTCCGCTTACCCAGTCCTCTCGGGGTCACTCACTCCCGGCCGCGAGCCCGGGGCGGGGGGGGGTTGGGTTCCCAGACCGCAGCGGCCCTGCCGGACAAAGATGCACGCGCTCCTCTATCCTCGGTCCCCAGATATGAGCACAGGGCCAAGGCGCCCGCCCCCAGGCCCGCCTGGGCGCAGCCGCCCGCCGCGCGCCAGTTACGCTTCCCGGGAACATCGGTCGAGAAACTAAACAAGCTATAGCGCCCTCGCCGCCCGCCGACAAGCCCTAACTAAATATCCAACCCCGCTCGCGATACCCGCAGCGGAAAGACCAGAGAGCCCGCGTCCCAGGCCCTTAAGGAGTCGGAACGTTCCACTCCTCAGCGATGGGAGGGGAATCCTGGCAAAGACTCACGGGAACTTCCGGTCCGTTTAACGGCACAGCCTCCGCCGCGCCGGCCGGACTCTCCCTCCTGCGGAGCTCATGGTCTCTTCGAGGCCCAAGAATTCTGGGTCACAGGCACGCGGCTAGCCCCAGGGCGCGTACGAGGAGCTAGAGCTCGCTGGTAGGTTGGAGACTGTCCCTCTGCGCCGCCCCCTGGTGGTCGGGAGTAGAGATTCGGCCATCGCGAGCTTTCAGTTGCTTCTCTGGAAGGTGGAGCGGCGGAGGCTGCAGACCGTGGTTCTGCGCGTTACGTGCGATCATGCCCTCGAAACCCTACAGAGGCTGGCGCGCGGCAGGCGTGCACACACTGTGACCGCTCCTCTCCTGGGTGCCGGGGCCGTCTGCCCTCCCCGCACCAGCCCTTCCAGCCGCTGCGCCCCGACCGCCCCCCTCACTCCCCTTCGTCCGCCCCCCCCCTCCCCCCGCTCCTTCGGGACTCCCAGCCGCGCCCGCGTTTCACCAGCGGTGAAGCCTTCCTCCCTCCCACAGCGTGGGAACAGGCTCGGGTCTGGCCACTTAAAAAACATTCAGCCCAAAAATAAACAGCCGTCCACGCACGTCCTGTGAACGAACACACAGGACCCCAAGGGAGAATGCAGGAAACGCGGTGGTGACCCACCAGTGACTGAGCGGGTCTTAGAAATAGGCGTGGGGTTTTAATGTAGGGAGGGGGGCTTTCTAGACGGACCCACGCCTAGGGGTCAGACACCCACGAGGTCCACTGTCATGCGCGAAGGATTTAGTGTAAGTGCCAGGGAGACCAGGAGGCCTCCGGAAATGCTTGGGGATGCCGGCTAGGGACCCGGAGGGCGCCCGGAGCCTCGCAGGCCTTCAGAGGCCAGGGTAACCTTGCTCTGGTGTCCCAGGGAGGTCCCTCCGGCTTGCAGGGGTGGGAACTGCTCAAGAGCAATTGGTAATCCACAGCCTGAATGAAGTTCAGCCCTGGAGCGGGCTGAGAGACGTCCTGCAGGTGACTTTAGCGGGTGTCTGGAGGCTGGGGTAGAGGTGGCCCTACTGGCCTGTGTCCACCACCTCGCTTCTGTGGTGACAGCAGGCACAGCGCCTCGGCCAGCTGCCTGCATCCCAAAGAGGGCAACTGGGGGGCTGCAGGTGAGGATTCCTGTGCCCAGGAGATGGCCGGAGCAGCCTGGCCCCAGACACAGGTAAACTCTCAGAGAAATGGCAGATGCCACCCAGCCCAAGGGCCCAGTACTTTTACTCAGCTAACGTTTCCAGAAGACTTAGTCACAAGAAAATATTTATTCATTTTTGCCACCAAAGACCGCTTGAGCCCCAGAGCCAGCAGGTGGGACTAGAAAGATTCCCTCCTCTGTCCATCAGTGGGACTCCAAGGGCTGCAGGGGC